TGGTCCTCCGCCCCCGCCACCCTTAAAAGCGTAGCGAATACAAATCGGTGCTGTTTTTTTTTTGTTTTTTTTTTTCTTCATAACTGTCAAGCTTCTTCCCTTGGTCCCTCTGCCGCTCTTCGTTCATCACTGCGGGAAGGAAGAAAGAGAGCCGCGTGAACGTCAAAAAGCAACACAGTCGTCTCCAAACTGACAGCGCGACGGCATCGAGGCCGACGTGGGGATGTTATTTCATTTAGACTGACTTTAATGGGGGAGGGGGGGAACAGGCCGCCACACGGCCTCAACACAAGACGCTAAAGGGAGCGTGCCAGTAGGCTGCCAATCACCAACGAGCCGCTGTCATGAGTTTGACAAGATGTCTGACATGCGCGACGGCATTTCGGATGCGAGCTGTCGTGCCCGCCGAGCTGCAGCAACGACGTTTTCAATCTGAGCAATTTTCCAGACTCATTTGGTATTTGCGGATGGTTCCTTCCGTTTTTACCGCAACTCACCATACAGCAAAGAGCAAAAGTCCATAGCCTGATTAAATTAAGCTCTGCCCCCTCACTTTAACAAAGGCCGTTGGAATCAAGATTTTAAAATTAGATATGGCTTTGGCCTGAGCACAAACACAGTGAAGAAGTGAGTCTAGGTCACCACAGTAACCAAAAACAAAAAAAAATAAATGTGATTCGGTAAATTATCATATGAGCTTCTGAGGATCTTAGCCTGTGTCTGGCAACTCACCTGTTCTGCAGGCGGTCTCTTGTGAAGGAGACCGGCTTCTTCGTTGGCCTTGTCTGTCTTCATTTCCACTACAATGTCATTGTTCACTTCTGCGTCCGCCCTGAAGGAGAGAAACAAACAAATTATAAACCACCCCGCAAAAAAACGCCAAAAACAACATGAACCTTTGATCATTTGAGGCCAACAACAAAATCATATAATGAGTTCCTTAGCCCGAGAGCGCCACCTACACTTGTGGAGTTTCACTTACATCCAAGTCACTTTAATGACTTATGAGCAGAGATGTTAAAAAAACAAAACAAAAACATTTCATGAGTGCCAAAGACGAGTCGAAGCGAATGAAGTCAAGCTAACAACTAGCACGGGTGCTAACAAAACAAGAGGTACTGCAGCATGCCACCCCTCGAACAGTGTCTTGAGATACAAGTTTAATCTGTTCCACGACCGTGCTCTTCAGTCAAAACACAATTTCAAAGCATTTGTATGAATAAATAAAGCGTTTGTGCACCTTGATAAATTCTTGCGCTCGATTAGGCCACTGGGGGGGGGGGCAGTCATTCAGACACAAAGACGACTTTCACAACTACTATAAGGAAACTGCAATAGTATTCTTTTTTTTTTTTTGCAGATGATAAAGAATATATGCTTGTGAGTATTGTTTTTGCCTGTCTGTCTGTCTGTCTGTGAATTGAAGGCTTAAAACATCGCAACTATTGATGCGAGTAGTTGGCCCATGGATGCTGTTTTGCATTGTTGGTTAGCATTAAGCTAAGCAGACTGAAAGCTATGTGGCTGTTTTAAATGCCTGTACATGTATAAACACTTTCTCTAAACGGTGAAGGAAGATAATTTATCGCAGCAAGTATTTTGTGGCTGGAGCTCTTATGAGAAACAGGAGCGCAGCTACTCACACTTCTTTCTTGTCTTTCTTGGCGCAGGGCAGCTTACTCTTCTTGTTGAGGAAGTAGATGAGAGCCACCAACAGCAGGAGCAGCAGCACGCACACCACCACGGCTATCACCACCCCGCTGGAACCGCCCTGCTGCTGATCAGCTACAGCGTCGCAATAACGGGGTGGGTGAGGATGGGGAAGGGGAGGGAGGAAAGTGGGTCGGGAAGATGGAGGTGGAAAGTGATCGTAGTGGAGGAAGAATTTCGAGGGTATGGGAGGGTTTTATTGATTTGATTTGAAGCGGGGGAATCGTGATGATTGGGGCGTAGGAGGAGCAGGAGGGAGAAATTTTATTCAATGGTAGCCGGTAGATGAGGATGGGAAGGGGGTTGGGGC